GAATAAAGTTGCATTTTGAATAATTTTAATTTTAGAAAGTCAACCTTGGATGTTAAAACAATACACATAAATTGGTAAATTTACAGGTTTCTTGTAAATTTACAGGTTTCTTGTAGTTACTACTATATAACATAGCTAAAGGAAACTTTTGAATAACATATCACACTAAAAGATTTTTAAAAAATGAAGTATGTCAGCATTAGTTTATCTTACATTTTAAAATTAAATTATATATAAAATTGGCTAGATTTCTGACCTTTGGCACCACGGGCTTAATGTCCGATTTCTGGAAGAGGCGTGGATGTTTGATGGGGGTTCTTTCGGTATTCTCTGACTTTGGGTTTAGTGTCAACGTGAGCAACTAGCTTGCAGGTGGATTGAAGTTTGAATCCGCTGGTGGCAGAATTGTAGGCATTGCTTTTAGAGACAAGCAGACTCAATGGCGATTATGACAATGTGTCTTGTATGGATAGTCAAGCTGCCTTGAAGAACTTTTGAGGCTTTTCTGTTATATGAAATGCATGTCCTGATGGCCACTTCTCTAGCACTATGGCCTTTGGTACCACAGCTTTAGATTTGAATCCTGGTGGTGACATTGATGTTTGCGAGTGGTTTGGAATGCACTATACACTGTAGGTCCCGGACTAATTAATCTAAATAGTGCAAAAAATGACCGTAGAGCGACAAACCAAACCAATCTTTCTTAATGTTATTTACCTCTTATCCTCATTTCTTATTGTTATTAAACATTCCCAAATGCACCCGAGGCTAATACTTTTCCCACTTGAAATTATCACTGCCCTCTAGCGGGCATATTTTCCACATTGGGAACCAGCGATAAAAATCATTAATAATTTAATCCTCAAAAAAGTTTAAAATTTATTTTTTTAAAATTGAATTAAATTTTATAGATATTTTATTTATTTGTACCAAAAAGAAATTTCATTGTCAATTATTCTTCACAATTAATTTTATTATATGTATAACAAAAATTCATAGGAAGTGCTTATGTTAGCATTTGCAACATTACAATATAAGTCCATGTGTTAAATATTATTTTGAAATGTATAATTCCCTGCAAAGTAGAAATCTTTTAGTTTTTAAATTTTTTGCTTTAATTGTTAACTATTGATTGTGACAGTATTTGTATAGTTTGCTCTTGATACTTTAAATTTTGATTGAAGTAAATAAACAATTTTTTTTTTTTTTTTTATATGCTTGGGAAATTGACTTTATTGATGGAAAACTTTATTGATAGTAAACGGTACGAAATAAAAACAATAAATAAGTAATAAATTTTACTCATTTTAATGGAATTTATAGAAGTAGCGTTAACAGAAAATATCACGGCATGTAATAAAATATTATTATTGAATAAGGTTGATAGCTAAAAAACATTCATATAGTTTAATAATTTCGAAAATTAACCTAAATAATTCACTTTAATCTGCAACATGCTAGTTCAATACGTTAGTTCATCTATTTTTTTTCTGGTGCAATTTTGAACGAACACTACAAGGGAGGGCAACTAGAAGACTTCACAACCATACCGTAAGCCAAAGGAAAGTCCTTCTGATCTATAGATTTATCGTACCTATCCTTGCATACAGTTCGACTTCGCGTTCAGATCAGGCTCTTCTATTTCAAAGCGGACTGATGGTCAACTGGTACTAGGCCCTTTGGCACCACAAGCTTCAGGTTCGAATCAGGGCGGTGGCATGGATGCTTGTGAGTGGTTTGGAATCCACGTTAAACTATAGATTCCGGTCTAATTAGCTTTAAGTGCACAGAAAATGGCCGTAGAGCAAAAAACCAAACCAAACCCCTATTTCAAAATTTAACATACTGGGACCTGAATGGCCGAGTGGCTAGCGCTCTGGCGCTCGGTACCACAGATTTCGGGTTCGAGTCCCGGCGGTGCCATGGATGTTTGTAGTGGTTAGGAATCCATTCTAAACCGTAGGTACCGGTCTAATATGACGGTTGGGCGTATGGTTGAGAGCTCTACTCCGTAAGAAAGAGACCATATCCTGTCTTGAATCTGCCAGTATTTAGACGGCTTTGGCCTCATGGGGCTGTTGCGCCAATGAGGAAAAGATAAATATTTAGACCGTAGACCGGGACCACTTTAACCGTAGGTACCGGTCTAATATGATCGTAGAGCGTTGCGAGGGCATTGTTATTCCGCGTCCGTGGCTTATCTTCAAGTTACACGCTTCCCCTGGGTAATGCAAAGTGAGTAACGTCTGTGCAGCGCTTGCCTTGAGGCTTCCATGACCAAGCTGTCTACGTGTTTGCCAGTTGCGTTAGAAAAAAAAAATTAACATACTACCAACCAGACCGATCCAGTTCGCTAATCAAAGATTAGACAAGAAAAAATGAAATCATTATATGTCTGATGATTTTAATTTGACTGTGATTTAAATATAAGTGATTAAAAAATTCTTATTTATTTCTTTTTATTTGAATAACATTTTTGTGAAAAAACGGAACTATGATTATCTTTGTGATTTGTGAAGCATTAGTAAAAATTGAAATATTTAAAAAAATGTTTCCATGTATTCTTTTAAAAAATTAACTCAAAGGTTTAAAATGCCGTGGAATTTAATAGATATCTACTTTTTTTCCTTTTAAAAATATAACTCTAAAGTTCTACTTTTTTAAAAATTAAATCTAAACTGATTACTGTTTAAAAAGGTAAAAAAAAAAAAAAAAAAAGAACTGCAATAATTTTTAATTGGGGAAAACTTGAAGTGAAAATCCTAATAAATAAAAAACAGTAAACGTGTAATAAATATTTAAAATTTTTAAATTAAAAAAAAAAATTATATTTATAAATATTTTTTACAATCATGAAAATGAAATTTTTGAAATGGAACATTTGTATTATAGAATGAAAAGTCTATGAAAACAATACTCAATTTATTTAATATTTAAAATGAAATTTGAATTTTGTAGCTGAAGATTAAAAATTAGACATCGGAAAATAATAAATAATAAGAAGTATTTGTTATATCTGATGGATTTTTAACTTTATTTGAAAACTTGCTAGTGAATTGAAAAAGGTTTAACACATATTCAAAAACATAAATGGATTGTTTATACCACATAAAATTATGTTTTCAAAACTGATTTAAATTATTTATGTTAATTTAATGTTTAGATATTAAGTAAGTATGATGGTGTAGATATTTAAGTTTCATAAAACAATGGCTTTTTTAGGCTTGTATTGACTTTATGCATTAATTTAGGGCATTTCCTAGCAAAGCTTCCATAATATCTTTGAATGCAAAGCCATTATTTCTAGTCTCTGAAAAAGTAAAAATTGCACAAATTATGACACGTTCTTGTTTATAAAAAACACTTTCATAAAATCTAGCTTCATAAATAAATCCTGAAGAAAAGCTTGCGAAATATTTCTTAGTTGTTTCTTACATTAAAAACTTAAAAGCTTTTTGTCATAACTTTTAGAAGTTGCTTCTCAAGTTGCGAGTTTGGTTAATTTTTATGTGGCCACAATCTGTTTTTTTTTATTATAAAGACTATTAAATGAGCTCGAGATTTTAGAAGCAGGCATTCGAAAACAAAAGATACTACTGTGCCCCGAAAGTAAGACCAATTTTTTTTTCAGAGTCTTTATTTATTCTTCCAACTTTATTTCATCGCCTTCAAAATTATCCCCTCCGGACACAATGCACTTATGCAATTTTTTTTCCAATCCTCAATGCATGTTAAAAAGTCATCGGCTGGGATGGTCTTCAAACCGAGTGGCGTTTCACGTTGAATCTCTTCAATCGACTCAAAACTGAGTCCCCGGAGTGGTTTTTTGAGTTTACGGAATAGCCAGAGGTCGCACAGTGTGAATATGGTGGTTCTGGAACGACACGGGTTTCATTTTTGGCGAAAACTCACGAAGAATCAATGCAGTGTGAGCTGGCGCATTCAGTGTTTTCGGTACCCATCGAGATTTGACGCGTTTGAGAACCAAAATGCAGTTGATCGATTCTTTTGAAATTTCAACATCATCAGCAAGATCTCTAATAGCAAATCGACGGTTTTGCAAGCACAAAATCTTTAATTTTTGGGGCGTGAGCTTCGTCGGTTGACCAGAGCGCTCTTCGTCTTCAACATGTTCTCTGGCTACTTTGAACTGTTTATACCACTTCTAAACATTTCTTTCCGATATAGGAATGCTCACCGAATGCCTTCTGTAACATTCTATACGTTTCCGCAAACAAAATTGAATGAAAGCCTTTGCTCAATAAATTCAGACATTTCAAAAATCGCCAGAATCAGTTTCAGCGTCTCACACAGCAAAACGTAACTCAAGCACTAAATAATATTTTGACGTCAAATTTCCCGTAGATGTCAAGGACAGTGTCAGCAACTTAAAATAGAAAAACAATTGAATTCCATAAGATCCGGGAATATTAAATTGAAAATTGGTCTTACGTTCTGGACACAGTACTAATGTTTTTAAAATTAAGGATTTAACTAAAAATGAATTTTAACTATTGTAAAGAGAACGTCTATCCTTCCAAATATTCAGGCGATGTAGTGTGAAATATTTACTTTTAATGCAATTCTTCCTTCATCTTGCAAGAATAGTTCTCTTAATTTAGAAAAAGAAATTGAAATTACCAACATATCTTATAAATCCTACCTTTTTTTTACCTTTAGAAAGACAAAGTATGACGTATAAATATTTAAAATTAGTTGTTGTTGTTTCTTATCCCACTTGGCTGGCCAAGCCCACGAGCCCATATGGACTCATGATTGAAGGGGAAGGAAGCAGCTTCTGTTGTGATGGAGCACCCGTAGGTAGAAGCCTGACTTTTGCTCCGTGACGCTCTTACAGTCATAGGAGACCGGGACCTACGGCTTAAAGTGGATTCCGAACCACTACAAACATCCATGGCACCGCCGGGATTCGAACCCGAAACCTGTGGCACCGAGTATCAGAGCGCTAGACACTCGGCCATTCAGGTCCCAAATTTGCCAACGGCACGCGGTGTTCCCAGGTGGTCACCCACCCAAGTACTGACCGCGCCCAATGATGCTTGACTTCGGTGTTTAAAATTAGTTAATCATATGTTAGTAATAGTTAAAATTCGAACAATTACATTTAAAATATGTTTATCTCAATATTAAGAGTGGGCCTGATGACCGAGTGACTATAGCTCTAGCACTGGATGCCGTAGGTTTCGAACTCGAGTCCCATCGGTGCCACGGATGTTTGTAGTGGTTAGGAATCAAATCTAAGCAGTAGGTACTGGTCTAATATGACTGTTGGGCGTATAGTTGAGAGCCCACTCCGTAACAAAGACACCATCACTTCTCTCGAATCTGCCATTAGGTAGACGGCTTTGGCCCAACATGGGGCTGCTGCGCCAATGATGTAAAGGTAAGTATTTAGAGTCAAATATACATTGAATATGAGTTCTCCAGGATTCAGTTGGAATTCAATATCTGTAGGGGGTGGGTACTTAAAAATATTATAGTAAAAATTGTATAGTGGTGAGAACTATTAACCTTTTACACATATTATTAAAAAACGTTGTTAAAATTCTGGTGAAAGACATAAAAATAATTAACCTTTTGAAAATGTTATTTTTAATACCAGTTATTTTCATCTCAGTTCATATATAGGAGATTCAGCTTTACCCAGTGGAACAAAATCGAACCTTTTACATTGCACCTACATTACTCTCTGGCAAAAAGGGACGAACGTTTTTAAGGATGGCATTTAGGGCATAGAGATTTTGCTTTATGAGTCCTTTAGAAGAAAATTTCTAATCTACAAATATATTGTACTCAAATAAATATGCATATATATAAATAAGAATACATATACTTAAATATGTACCATCATCATTATCATTGTCGCAACAGTCCCATGGTGGGCCAAGGCCATCTGCCTGCTGGCAAATTTCGAGACAGGAAATGCTTTCTTTTTACGGGGTAGAGTGTTCAGCTTTACGCCCAACTCTCTACGGTCGTATTAGACAGGAACCTACGACTTAAAGTGGATTCCGAACCACTATAAACCCTTATGAAACCGCCGTGACTTGAACCCGAAATATATGACACTAAGTGCCACAGCACTAGTCATAAATACATATACATTTTTTTCCCAATGCAGCTGGCAAACAGACATGGACGTCTTGGATGCCTTAAGGCAAGCGCTGCACAGACGTTACTCACTTTGCATTACCCAGGGGGCGCGTGTAACTTGATGGTAAGCCACGGACGTGGAATAACAATGCCCTCGCAACGCTCTACGATCCTATTAGGACCGGGACCTACGGTTTAAAGTGGATTCCGAACCACTACAACACCCATGGGCAAAGCCGGGATTTGAACCCGATACCTGTGGTACCGAACGCTAGCCACTCGGCCATCAGGTCCCTATACACATATATATAAATACATACTATTTGTTGGTTCGATTTTGATTGCCGGTTTTCGAAACAAGCCTTTTCAGCTGAAAAATCTAATGCGTTATTTTATTTTCAATGAATTCTATTATTAATGAATTTCTTTTGTTGTTATTTATGAAAAATACATGCTGGAAAAGATTATTATGTATATAAATTTATAAAATAACTTATTTGGTGTAAATAATACAAATATATAAAATAAGTCGTTAACATTGAATATAGATTTATAAAACAAGCACTTAATTGAGACGATAAAAATGATAACTATATTTTGGTGTTCGGCTAAAATAGTATTATTTCGAAGCTTTTTGTCTTCGCCATAATTGATTTTGTATTTCTTTTCTAATATTCGAACTACTGCAATTGGAGTTCTTTATATCCCATAGAAAAAACAGACAAATTCGTGTTCGGAATAGTAGAGCTTTACCAAAAAAGATATTTTTTATAGTTATAGTGTTGTCGGCATCGTTTTATCCTACACCACTTGGTCGGAAAATTGGAAAAACTAGTCCGAAATGATAGATAAAACTCTTTTTTTTGCCTCCTCTTTTTGAAGAATGAAAGAGGACTTCTGTTTTTCGCTGTTTCGAAACATCAGAAAATGTTCTTACCATGTTCGAATGATAAAAAAAAAGAATTTTCTTGGAATCCTTTTTATTTGTTCCGCAATTTTTTTTTGTGTGACGAAAGCCTATTTTGTTGAGTGACTGTTTTTCCTCAAATATTTTTAGCAATTGGAGAATGTCATCGTTAGACGAATAGCTTAATCAAAATTCTATGTAGGTATATTATACAATGGGAGCAGAAAGTTTTAGTACAGTGCTGGTTTATAATGGCAAGCATTTATATTTTGTTATTTATTAGAGAGCACATTTCTTGGTTTGGTTTGTCACTGTACAGTCATCTTGTACAGAAAAAGTCTAAACAGACCTTGACCTACAGTTTAAAGTGGATTCAGAATCACTCTGAAACATCCATACCACAGACAGGATTTAAACAGCAAGCCTGCGATACCAAATGCCAGAACGCTAGCCATTTGGCCACCAAGCCGCTCATATATATAAGATTCAGCTTTACCAAGTGACACAAACACGAACGTTTTACATTAGACCTACATTATTTAAAGGCAATTTGGGCTAACGTATTTAAGGGTGGTATTTGGGGATTCGTGATATCCACTATGAGCCCTTTGAAAGAGAATTTCCAATCTACAGTATAAAACAAGAACATATTGTACTCAAATACATATACATGTACATAAATACATATCCTCCTCATCATCATTGTCGTCATTGATGCAGCAGCCTCATGGTAGGTCAAGGCCAATAGGCTGGTAAATTTCGAGACAGGAAACAATCACTATAAACAATAATGGAAACGCCGGGATTCGAACCCGAAACCTGTGTCACCGAATGCCAGAGCACTAATCGTAATTGCATATACATAAATACAAATACATACTATTTATAGGTTCGTCTTTGCTTGCCAGATTTCTAAACAAGATTAAATTAGATTACTCGATTAGATCTAGTTGTTATTTATGGAAAATACATACTGGACAATATTATCATATATATATATAAATAAATTTAGAAAATAATACAATTATATAAAATAAGTCGTTAATAACAAATATAAACTTATAACGCAAGTACTTAATTGAGACGATAAAAATGATAACTATATTTTGGTCTTAGGCTAAAATAGTTTTATTTTGAAGCTTTTTGTCTTCGCCATAATTGATTTTGTATTTCTTTTCTAATATTCGAACTGCTGCAATTGGAGTTCTTTATATCCCATAGAAAAAACAGACAAATTCGTGTTCGGAATAGTAGAGCTTTACCAAAAAAAGATATTTTTTATAGTTATAGTGTTGTCGGCATCGTTTTATCCTACACCACTTGGTCGGAAAATTGGAAAAACTAGTCCGAAATGATAGATAAAATTCTTTTTTCTCTTTTTGAAGAATGAAAGAGGACTTCTGTTTTTCGCTGTTTCGAAACATCAGAAAATGTTCTTACCATGTTCGAATGATAAAAAAAAAGAATTTTCTTGGAATCCTTTTTATTTGATCCGCAATTTTTTTTTTGTGACGAAAGCCTATTTTGTTGAGTGACTGTTTTTCCTAAAATATTTTTTAGCAATTGAAGAATGTCATCTTTAGACGAATTGCTTAATCAAAATTCTATGCAAGTATTTTATACAGTGAGTGCAGAAAGTTTTCGTACTATGCTGGTTTATAATGAAAAACCTTTTTTTTTCTTTCTAATGCAGCTGGCAAACACTTAGACAGCTTGGTCTTGGATGCCTTAAGGCAAGCGCTGCACAGACGTTACTCACCTTGCATTACCCAGGGGGCGCGTGTAGCTTGAAGATAAGCTACGGACGCGGAGTAACAATGCCCCCGCAACGCTCAACGATTCTGTTAGACCAGGACCTACGGTTTAAAGTGGATTCCGAACCACTACAAACATCCATGGCACCGCTGGGACTCGAACCCGAAACTTGTGGTACCGAGCGCCAGAGCGCTAGCCCCTCGGTCATTCAGGCCTCATGAAAAACTTGTTTTTGTTATTTAACAGAGAGCATAAGGGCCTGATTGTCCAGTCGCTGGCGCTCGATGCCACAGGTGTCGAGTTCGAGTCCCGGCAATTCCGTGGATGTTTGTAGTAGCTTGGAATTCACTTTAAACTGTAGGTCCCTATCTAATATGGCTGCAGGGCATCGGGTTAACAACCCTATCCCGTAAAAAGAAAACATGTTCTGTATTGAAACCTATCAGTAGACAGACGGGTTCGGCCGATCATGGGGCTGTTGCGACACATGATGAATATAGAGCACATTTCTTGGAAAAGATTATGGTACTTACGTATTAACAGTACCTTGGCGACAGACTTGGTGTTTTTAAGTGTCGCCAATGTAAGAGCTACAGATTTGGCGGTTTTTAAGTGGCGCCAATATAACGGCTGCAGATTTGCTGAGTTTTGACGCCATTTTGTAGGGCTACGAAAATGCGTATTTTGGATTTGCCAGAAACAGAACAAAATGCAATTTTATTTTTTCAGGAGCGAAATATTTTATCAAAACAACGAAAATGTCCCAATTCCCATGACATGAAACTTTATTTTGGAGATCGTAAGTTTTGGAAATGCAATTCCAGTCAGTGTGCTCATCGTGTGGGACTTAGAAAAGACAACTGGTTTGAGGGAAGCAGAATTCCATTTTGTACAGCTTTGAGATTCATATACTGCTGGTGCGACTGTTTTGAATCCATGTTAAACTCTATATCGGCCTGTTTTCCACTGAAATCCGTTTGACTACTTTGTGTTTAAATGAAGTGTTTTTGACTAATTTGTGTTTAAATACAGTGTTTTGAATTTTGAAATCGTTTTGATTTTAAATGAAGTGTTTTATATATTTTATTATTTGGAACAAAAATTTTAAGTGTAGATTGGCGCCACTTAAAAACCGCCAAATCTGTAGCTGCGGATGGCTCGTTTGCACTTTATTGGCGCAACTGTCGCCAAGGTACCGTTAATACATAAGTACCAAGATTATCAAAAGTTCCAAAAATGATTTGAACTTACAATTTAAAATAATTTTCAATTAAAAAAATTATCTAAGACAAAGGAAAT